TGCGGGTTGTAACTTGTGAGAAGAGACCAACCCCCACCTCTCTACAGCCTCCTTTCAGGTAGGTGTAGAGAAAAGTAAGGTGAGTTTCGTCTGGGCTCCGCACATCCTGGACATGAGGGCCCAGGTTAATTAAACATGAGAGTAGCAACATTTCAGACCACTTCCATTCAGTTTCCTGCCTCGAGTGGACATCAGCCTGGAGAGTTTGTTTAATACACAGCAATTGTACAATATCCTCTACAACATCCTACATGGCCTTCCATCCAACTAACTACACGCTCACCAAGCCACCATGTCAGTCCGATGACCCGTTACCCTGCAACCTGGTCTGTTAGCCATGGTTAGTATGCAATCAGAAATCATTATTACTTCCACAATAGAAAACTATAATAGATTAAAAGTGGGAGTTAGAGGATTAAGAGTTCCTTCTTACCTTTCTAAACCAAGCACCTATTGCAGTTGGTTAAGTTCTTTGCAAATTTTTTTTATTATCACTTACAGGAAACCTAAACTTTATCAGATAGCACAAGCTTTCAGCCATAAGTTCACTCCAAAATGTTTATTCCTACTGCATAACTCGCAAAAAAAAAAAAAAAAAGGCATTTTTTTCTGATTTTACAGAGTTGAAAATTCAGCACTGTGCTTTTCAGGTATGCATTAGCGTAACTTGGCCTTGGGGCTATTGTAAATTGTTCACAGGGTTTTAAAAAAATGAAGGATTACAAAAGATCAAAATCCAGACAGGACTGAGTGGCAGTTATTTTAGAAATACTAGAAGGTCAAGAAACATCATGTTTTCAACATATTCTTACCACATTTAACCCAGGCACATGCAGCACAGGTAGCACTTCAAGACTGGCTGAATTGCACGGAGTTGTTCTGCATAACGCTACTAAAAGGGGAGCAATATGGAGCCATCAGTCACTTTTAATTAAGGCTCATAGAGAGCTACATGTTGTCCAATTCTGCTGCAACCAAAGACTTTTAATAGTGCCAGATTCTGGGCAAGGTGTTCCACAGCTTATTTACGCATTGTTGTGAATAAAACAGTTCAGTTGTTTTAAACTGACCACATTTCTTTGATGCTCCTTGTTCTTGCAGCCAAAGAGACAGCAGACAACTACTTACGCTTCTGTCTTTACACTCTGGAGATCTGGCATAGCCCTCCCCCCCAACATCTTCCATTCTGGAGTCTCCTATCTATCTAATCATTCTCAAGAGCAGAGCTATGATCAAGTATACAAATTACCTTTGTGGTGGGTTGGCCCTGGCTGGACACCAGGTGCCCCACCAAAACCACTCCATCCCTCCCCCTCTTTTGCTGAACAGGGGAGAGAAAATATGATGAAAGGCTGGTGGGTCAAGATGAGGACAGGGAGATCACTCAGCCATTACTGTCATGGGCAAAACAGACTCAGCTCGAAGAAAGTGATTTAATGTATTACCCTATTCTGATTTGATTGGCAATGAGAAATAAAACCAAATCTTAAAATACCTTCTCACCACCCCTCCCTTCTTCCCAGGCTCAACTTCACTCCTGAATTTTTCTACCTCCTCCCCCCAGCAGCACAGAGGGACAGGGAATGGGGGTTGTGGCCAGTTCATCACACATTGTTTCTGTTGCTCCTTCCTCCTCAAGGGGAGGACTCCTCACACTCTTCCCCTGCTCCAGTGTGGGGTCCCACTGGTGGAAGACAGTCCTTCACAAACTTCTCCAACATGAGTCCTTCCCACTGGCTGCAGTTCTTCACAAACTGCTCCAGCGTGGCTCCCTTCCAAGGGGTGCCGTCCTTCAGGAGCAGACTGCTCCAGCGTGGTCCCCCCCTGGGTCACAAGTCCTGCTATCAAACCTGCTGCAGCATAAGCTCCTCTTTCCATGGGGTCACAGGTCCTGCCAGGAGCCTGCCCCAGCATGTGCTTCCCATGTGGTCACAGCCTCCTTCCAGCATCCACAGGCTGCAGGAGGCTATCTGCTCCACCGTTAACCTCCATGGGCTGCAGGGGGACAGCCTGCCTCACCACGGTCTTCAGCACCGGCTGCAGGTGCAGGAGAATCTTCGCTCTGGCACCTGGAGCACCTCCTCCTGCCCCTCCTTCTTCACTAACCTTGGTGTCTGCAGAATTGTTGTCTCTCACATATTCTCTCATTCCTCCCTCTGGCTGCTGCTGCTGTTGCACAGCTGGCTTCCCCCGACCAACCCCCTTTCTTAAATATGTTATCCCAGAAGCACTACCACCACCGCTGATAGGCTCAGCCTTGGCCAACAGGTGGTCAAACTTGGAGCCAGGTGGCACTGGCTTTATCAGACATAGGGGAAGCTTCTAGCAGCTTCTCACAGAAGCCACCCCTGTAGCCCCCCCCGTGACCAAAACCTTGTCATACAATCTCAATACAACCTTCTTCCACAACCTAGACTTATGCAAGCAACTGCTTGGAATATTATTTGTGCAGCTACATTAAAGTCACTACTCCATACTCCAGCTGCAAGTGAGAAGTTATGGAAAAAGAGGAGAGTCACAACTTATTATTAGTGCAGTAATTTATCTTCGGCATTTAGCAATCCATTACATTTAAGAAAGTTTGCATAAATGGCTTTTCACCGCTAGTGGTATCACAAACAAAATTTAATGCATACAAAACCTCAAATATTTGCATTTCAACAAAGAAAGCTGCTACAGAATGGCATCTTGTTTCACAAGGACAACTTCAGAGTAGAGGCAAGTGCATTTCAGCCACGGTAGCGTAAACAGCATGCAACACATGACATAAAACAGATGCAATGTCTATGTTTGAAACATTAAATAAAAATTAAGATACATTAAACAATCATTTGAAACATAGGCCATGCTATAAAATGCCCTTTGCAAGTCACATAATCACCAAAAAACCCCAATGAATCCTCATTTTTTGAGTATCTACTGGTGAAAACTAGTATGCCAGTTTCCCCAGTATATTGAAGATCTATAGTTTGATATTTATTTTTACATTAGAATGCATATAAAGTATTATGATAAGAAGTTCATAACCATGTTATTTATCTTCCAATGTTCATAAAATCCTCTTTTGGCTGAAGCTCAAAAATAGTTTAAGTATTTCTAAAGATGTAGCAAATCACTAAGATTTAATTCCCCGTAACTGCTTTTGAAATGCATTCTTCTCTTGGTGATTTTGAATTGCGTATCAGAATTTCTTATTCATCCGAGCAAGCCTGTTTCACCTAGTGGCACAATTACTATATTCTAAGAGTTCCTTTCTCTCAGGTTTTTTAGGCTTCAGGAAACAGTTCCCTTTAAAATATGTATTCTTCTTTATTTTGTGCAATGTTTTTACCAGGGATAGAGCAGAAGTGCAGTAGAGAAATTTCTTTTCTAAAAAGGCATTTTGAAGAAAGTTTTTATCAGGTACATGTGGCCAAAGTCCTTGGACACTGAGGAACAACTGACTAGAAGTCATTTCCCTTACTATAAAGATTACACAGTTCCGTAAAAATGGACTACAAAACCACAGTGCTAATAATGCCCAGGTTTTTTAGACCTTTATAATAGACATAGTAATGTACATACACAATTTGTGAGACACATTACATTTTGACGGGCAATTTTTAGTCTCTTCATAAAAATAGATTGTAATATAAAATATTAAAAACAAGCTATATAACTTGTACCACAGAGTTTTTATATATATACGACATTTTAAAAGGACTATTATATGATAATATATTAAAAGATCATTTTCAAGTAAATTATGATTCAATTTCATAGACAAGAACATGTCTATAATAAGTATTCCAGCAGTATCTATTCCTAGTAATCAGAAATATGCAAAATAAAGCCTGTGTAAACTTACAGAAGTTTACTTCCACAATTCTCAATCTCAAGCCTATTCATTTTCTGTATGCAAGATTCCTGTCGCCTTAAATGGGAACTAAGTATCGGGGCCTATTCCAAAGGAATATGAAGAAAACTGCGGTATTTCTCACCAACTCAGTGAAAGTCAATCTAATCACATTTTCAAGAATGACTAATGATTTGGGTTCTTCCTTTCAGACCCAAGAATACATTTTGAAAAGCTTATGCCCTCATCCAACAGAATATAGAAGGGGAAGTTGCTCTGTGGTACTCCGCAGGGTCACTCTCAAGTGCTTTCGGGAATAAAGGTCAGAAAGACCTAACTTAAAAATACTTAATACCCATTAAGATCAAAGATCAGTACATACACATATTAGAGATTAGATTTAAGATCTGGATGACCTGCACTTAATAAACAAAATGCTTATAAACATTATGTACAGAAATTGACCCCACCATCCCCGCCAACATGTTTCTTAGGTGTTTATCATTAATCTCAATTACAGTTGAGTAGTTCTGAATGATTCCTACTTTAAGTGCTGAATGCTGCTTCTGTAACTGCTATACTCCAAACAGCTTATAATACTGGCATTCCTTAATGTAACAGAGAAAAGTTCTGGTTCCAGTAATTGCAGGAGTACCAGAACCTGGTATAGTATGAACCTGGTTTGGGTTACAAAAGCAGCTATGCTATACTTTTTTTTGCATCAAAGTCTTTTCAGAAACATAATTGTATTAAGAGATGTTGCTCTACAAAAATACAATGTAAGCATAGTACATTTTATCTACAATTCTTTTGTCATTTCATAATTGCATTGCTATACGTAAAATGTATTTAATTTGAAACATAATATTACGTTTTAATGGTGGCAAAACAGGAAGTACTTTGCCAGCTCTTTCCTACTGCAAATCATAATAAATGCTTGCCTTAAAAACTAGTAATTCACTGGCTGTTATAAGTGACACAATCCATTAAACAAATTCAGTCTATGTCCTTGAAATTAATTTCTTTCCAGTGAATTTCAGAAGCTATTTGCATGCTTTTTACAAGATCTTTCTCATTAATAGTCACTGGAGTAGGCTGTTCTTCATGGGGAAGTCAGATCACTGTCTTGGAAGGTAAAAAAGCGGTACAGAAATAGGTCGCATTTTTAATTGGTAGGTGTTTCTGTTTCTTCTTTCCCCATTGCTGCCTCAGGAAAAAGTAGTTTTCTAAGTATGTTTGCATAGAATGGTCCATACACTTGTTTGTTAAAGTTTACAATGCTCGCATACTGAGATCCAACAAACTCCATCTCCGTCTGAATCACAGAAAGGCCTCCTGGCATAGCAGGCATACACTTCTGAAAACTC